CAAAAAACAAAAGAAGAAAAGAGATCGGGGTCCAAAATCATGATAAGGTATACCACATTGTTGAGGGTTATCCGTATTTCATGAGTCAAGCCTTGAGTTTTCTCACTAAACAGTTCTCTGGCTTAATGTGGTCCAAAATTTCTGGTCCAAAGCCTCTAGGATCTGAGACAAGCATGGAGCATGAACCAAAGGTCAGACTGATACGGACGTGCAGAGTCCATGGGAAAACAGTGCAGTTGCTGAGGAGGTCCCGTGATTCCCTCATTAGAAGGATATTTCTCCCTTTTCTCTCTAGCTCAGAGCTATTTTTCTTACCCTTGAGTCTTAACCTTTTATTTTTGTTCATGTAAGGATCTCAAACCAAGATTCCCCGTATTGTTAATAATGGTTAGGTGCAATGGCTCGCACCTGTAGTCCCAGCTAACCCAAAGGCAGGAGGATGGCTGGAGCCCAGCAGGTCATGGCTGCAGTGAGCTATGATTGTGCCACTGCACTCCAGCCTGGGCAACAGAGCAAGACCCCATCTCTTAAAAAAATAATGATTGTAGCTAATACTTAGTTGTATTACAAAGTATCAGCTATTGCTAGAAAGTATTTTACATGGATTATTCACTCATTTAATTCTCATTATAATCCTATGGAGAGATTGCTATTGTTTGCATTTTATAGACGAGGTAAGTGAAGTGCAGAGAGAGGCGATTGCCAGGGTCTTATGTTTAATAAGTGGCAATGTGATGATTTGAACCCAGGTAATCTAGTTCCAGAGACTACTTGTACTCACTGCTCTTCAAGAAGTAGTCTTTTTAATCCATGTCTCTTTATTACATGTTTTTACTCTTTACTAAGCTGCTGCTTAGGAGCTGAATGGCCTTGAGCAACATACTTAACCTCTCTTTGTTTCAGTTTCTTCATCATAAATTATAATAACGGTACTTAAGTCCTGGGTTTATTAAACAGAGAGTATCATTGCACGAGCCTTCCATATGTACAAAGCCCTCTCTCAAGGGGATTGGAAGAGATGGGAAAGCTCAAGGCACAGGGAGATAGAAACAAAGACGGACAAATGAGTAGATCGTATCTTATGATGGAGCTCTCCAGTGACTGCCTCAGATTGTATTTGACTTAAATAGTTCTTGAAACATTTCGGTAATTGGGATATGTCAGTGTTTGGGTCATTTAGGTCATAATAGGTCTTAATCTAGTTTGGTTTATTGATTTCCCTCAGGCAATGTGATGAGATGGTACATAAAAGAAGGGTGGGGAGGAGGTAGGTTGTTCAGATGGCTCACAACTTAGCTTCCTCTCTTGGTACTGAAAATACTTGGCAGCTAATCAAGCCCAGGTATCTCCTAGGAGACTGAGTGGCCAGATGGGGCAAAGGATTGTGCCTGTTCCTGCCATGAAGGAGGTCCTGATTCTAAGCTGAAGAAGAGCAAAAGGAGAAACTGCAGCCACTGTAACAGCAAGGTGAGGAAGGTACCAAGGGCTATTAGAGCTGTCAGGGGTCACCCTAAGCCTTATAGTTTGGGGTATTGTTTGCTACCAAAGATTTACACTTTATTGAATTCCTAAAGAGATTATACATATATTAATGATATTCAGTATATACATAAGTGGATATATGTAAAACAAATAGAACCTGTTAGAAATATATGATGGATTTTGTTTTTTAAAGAGAATCCTAAAGCTTTTGGAATTGGGGAAAAAATATCAACCAGTTTAAGTATTTTCCTCTTAGATGTTTTTTAATGAATTAAACTGTTTAGATAAACAGACTGTAAAGGTAATATGGTTCTCTAGAGTGGAGTTGGTTGGCAGCAAAAATATACTTCTTGGTTAGAGAAGGACTGGTGGGATCCAATAGTATACTCTGGGCCATTTAAAATCCATGGAGCACTAGCTGGATGCAGTGGCTCACACCTCTAGGCCCAGCTACTTGGGAGGATCAGGCGGGAGGATTGCTTGAGGCCAGGAGTTCAAGGCTATAGTGTGCAGTGATCACGCCTGTGAATAGCAACTGCACTCCAGCCTAGGCAACATAGTGAGACCCTGTCTCTTAAAAAAATAATTTGTTGGAGCAGGCATGCATGTTGGTCGACTTGCTGAGCATCAGGCAGGGCTTCTTCCTTTGGTGGGCCCCTGAGACATAAGGAAGTCAGGACACCTTGACTGAGAATGCCATCTGTACAGGTCTGTGACAGCAAATCCTATAAGAGCAAGGAGCCCCATGAGTTGGTGGGCAGCAGCCCCCATCGAGAGGCCAGTCCTATGCCTGGTGCTAAGGATGCTGGGCAGGGCAAGGACGTGATGGAAGAGGAAGCCCCAGAGGAGCAGGAGAGCATTGAAGCAACCCAGAGCAAGACTGGCAGGACCACCAGAAAGGGAGAGATGCCTGTTCCAGGTGAGTGATCTGACTGCCATCCCAGGCCAACTCAGCCCTCTCCCTGTATTTCTCAATCTCATTCTCCCATACTTCAAGCAGGAATCTCTATGTCTGGATAAATAACAGCCTTTTCAGGGATGCACACACTACTTCTTTCACTGATAGACCAACAGGAAACCCTTCTCCTGTTCAGCCTTTATTTTTGTTCCTATGGCCCCACTTGCTTTGCAGAATTAAGAGTGCTACAAGTTGGACATGATTTAGCATTCTCTTCTTGTGTTCCCATTCCTGAAGCCCTTCTCCTTATCTCCAAATCTACTATAATCTACATTCTAAGGACTCAAGTCATTCTCAGCTTTGGCAGTAGAACTTTGTCTTTGCATCAGTGACTTTACCCACTCCCCCACCTCCACCGCACTCTTACAAATTAGAACTTTACCACAGTAGCTCACCACAGTGACTCTATGGTAATTTTAGTCCTTAAGTGCCTCTTGATTTTGTCCATACACTTAGATCCTTATTTTCCTCCTAAGCAGGATTGCCAGTGGGGAGTACTTTGCCGTCCCCTCAAGAAGTCCTTCTTACGGAACAGCTCCTTCTGGATGGCCCACCACCTCGCTCACCAGAGACTCCTCAGTTTCCCCCCAAATCTGGAGCTGTACCATACACTGTTAGGAGAAACCAGGCTGGGCCTGAGGTTCTCTCCTGCCCCAAGGCATCCCTCAGACGTCAGAAAGAGAGGGAGGGCCAAAAGGCAGTGGGTGAGTCAGAGGCTTTGATGCTGGTCTGGGATGTATCAAAAACTGAGAAATTGCCTGGCACTGTTGAACCCTCTGCTTCCTTCCCGAGTCCTGTTTCCTCGAGAACCAGAGACTTAGAAAGAAGACATATGTCTGGGAAACCAGATACTCAAGAGAGCTGGCTGCCCTCAGGCAGAGCTGGGGTGAAGACAGCAGACGGGATGTCCCCTGTCCATGAATCTTCATCAGAAATTGACACTTCAGAGACTTCTCCCAAACCCCCTAGAGGGGGGTTGGCCAAAGACAGTGGAATACAGGGCAAGGGGCCAGAGGGGGAGCAGCAGCCAAAGACCACAGAAGCTACAGTCTGTGCCAACAACAGCAAGGTCAGCTCCACTGGGGAGAAGGTTGTCCTGTGGACAAGGTAGGTAAGGATGGATGGTGTGTGTTTGGTAAGAGCATAGAAACACGTTTGTGTGACTCCTGAGGATTAATCATGATACATGGGTTACAGAGAAGCCGACCGTGTGATTCTCACCATGTGCCAGGAGCAAGGAGCACAGCCGCAGACCTTCAGCGTCATCTCCCAGCAGCTGGGAAATAAGAGCCCTGCTGAGGTAAATGGGGCTGGGGAAGCCCTGCTGGAGCTTCAAGCCCCGGAGGAGCCAACGAGAAGGCCTGGCCGGAAGAGGACAGGGTGGCCACCTAAGAGGCAGAAAGTCAAAAGAAGGATTTCCAAATTCAGGACACTAACTGGTTATTATAAACGTCTGGCTTAAGGAAGGGCTTGACTTATCAGGGTGATAATGGAAGAGAAAGGGCATCAGATTTTGAGGCAGAAGCCCAAAATTTCTATTACAGTTTTGTTTTTAGGAGGAGTGTGACTTTGGACAAAATATTTAGCCTCTTTCGTTTCCTTATCTATAAGGACACAGCTGTCACTACCCGTGGAATAAGTAAGGGCATGGTGGTGCACACCTATAGTCTAGCACCTATAGTCTAGCTACTCGGGAGGCTGAGACAGGAGGATCACTTGAGCCCAGGAGTTGGAGGCTGCAGTGAGCTATGATTGTACCACTGAGCTCCAGCCTGGGCGACAGTGAGACCCTGTCTCTAAAAAACAATTCAAGTTGGTATATAGTACTTAATAAATGTTAAAATGTTCCTAAGGTACTTGGGAGGCCGAGGTATGAGGATCGCTTGAGCCTGGGAGTTCTAGACCAGCCTGGGCAACATAGCGAGATTCCATCTCTTAAGAAGAAAAAAGTTACTAAGGAACAGTAAATACAGATCTTCTCCTTTCCTCCTAGGTTTCCCACCGTTTTCGAGAACTCATGCAGCTCTTCCACACTGCCTGTGAGGCCAGCTCTGAGGATGAGGATGATGCAACCAGTACCAGCAATACAGACCAGCTATCCGACCATGGGGACCTTCTGTCTGAGGAGGAGCTAGATGAGTGAGACTCTGGGAATGTTTGGGTGTCATCTGCATGGGACCAAACCCAATAGGCACCCGGACACTGGGGGAGAGGGTAGTTGTACTTTGCTTGTACAATCCTTGGGCTCAGTATACAGAGCTGGAGAACAGGAGCTCAGGACAAAGACAAAGTAAGGTTGGGGGAAGTGGGGCCCATGGGCTTGGCCATCCTATGCATTGTTCAGGGTCTTTTATGAAGACCTTACAAATCTGCAAATGTACTTTGTAAATAGCATCAAGGGAGAGTGGGACTCAGCTTTCTCTACTTTTTTTTTGTTTTGGTCTGCTGACACATATTTATTATTCTGTGATCTAATCACAGTGTTTCTAAATATAATAAATGCATATGTTGGTGTAGCTAGTCCCAAGACACTGAGCTTCTCTGCCGGAAGACACTGGGCTCCTGCATCCAGCAGTGTACTGCAAACTAGCTCTTCTCCCCGACTCTAGAACTTTAGTCCCTCAGGCCATCACTGTCCTGGTAGCACTGCGCCAGGCTTCGCAGCTCCTGCAGCAGCTCCTCCACGTCATCCTGTTCTACTCCAGCACCCAAGAAGCTGGCCCAACGTCGCAGGTCGAGTTTGGTGAGCTCTTTTGCCAAGGCTCCCAAGGTCCGGTGCAAGGACGAAGAGGAGCACAGTGCCCCAAACACTGGGATGCTCTCCACTGCTATGACAGGAGAGAAAAGTGAGACTTGTAAATGGATTGTTATTCTACCCTGGGACTCTGTCTTATTGATAGGGAAGTCTGGGCCCTTGGTAGACTTGATTGTAAAGTAAACTCAAGAAATTTTGTGTATTGTCCCCTTAGGATATCAGTACTCCAGAGGAAAAACATTTTTCTCAGGAGCCATAGGGTGAATAAAGGAATGTTTAACTGTGAACTTTTTAAGTACTTTTAATGCAAGAAGGGAGACAGTAAAACCTCTCCCATACTTGAAATCTCAGTTTTCTGCACCTTCTACATACCTGACCCCTTGGGGGGACCATTGAGAACCACACGATGCTGGCTGAAGCTCGAGGAGAAGAGATGGGGATAAGGAGGGACCACCATGCAGGGAGTCAGCAGCAGATGGGAAGAACTGTGGGGGCAGAGAATAGCAGTAGAGTGAGCAAGAAGTCAAAGGAGGTCGAAGGTCTCAGAAAAGGGCAGGAGCAAGCCATTATACTGACCTCATGACTCTAGGCTGCTGTTGTTGTAAATATTGGGCCAAGACTTCTTCCCCAGTGGTACACGCATGGAGAGGGGAGGGCAGAGGTGTCCCTGGGGAGAGCTGACTGCGAGAAGAAAGCCAAAAACACCTTATCCATGTGGCAGCATGAATAAGAAACCAACAATTCTTATGTTAGGAGGCTATCAGCTGAATCAGGATGTTCTGGCCCCCCCCCTTTTTTTTAAATAGTGGTTGCGGAATAGGGGAGGAAGAATATCATTAGCATGCCCACAGACACTAGGGAGAAAAGGACATGAAACAAATTCTGGCAAGGGCTCCTAAGGACCCCACCAGTCCTCACCTTGTGTGGCATGCTCTGTCTATACCCCTTAGCACTACTGACTGGGCAAAGCAGCGTGTTCCAGAAGGGTCCCCACATGCAGACAGCGGGGTCCATGGGGTGGCTCCTCCAAGCTGCACCAGGGTATCAGGAAGGGACTGGCCTGGAACCAAGGGGAAGGGGATAGTTGCTCCTGCTGTCACCACCTAAAGATAAGGAAGAGAACAGGTTACAAAACCTTCTGTCAGCACTGACCCAACTCCTCACAAAGCTTCATACCTTTTTCCCGGAGAAGCTCAGCATATCAGCCAGATGAACCATGGAAACCGGAGAGGAACGTAGGCGATAAGGAACAGTGACTGTGTCCAGGGCTGTTGCCAGGATGGCGCTGCAGTGGTAGGGCAAAGTGGCCTATAAAGAGGACATGGAGAGGAGCATTTAGCCTTTGGGGCCTGGAAAAGAGTTTGGAAGCAAAGCATTAATGGCAGAAAGGTCTGGGGGAAGAAGCAGGGGTGTGTCTGGCTCAAGGCTAGACAAGCATAGGACACAGGCCACATCACAGCTGAGTTCAAGCTCAGGCCTCAAGAACAGAGCCAGTAACACATACAGGCTGACCTGGGGAGTACAAGGAGGCCCTGTGGCCAGCTGCAGTCAAAACAAGAGCACTGGTCCTTACATCGTAATGCAGGTGAGGGAACTTGACAGGTGGCTCAGGTCGCAGGCCCAGGCTCCCGCTCAAGGATAAAGGGCAGACGAGAGAGCTGTGAGCAGTCAGGTGCACCAGACCAAAAGCTGTGTTTAACAGGCGATAGATGTTTTTCGGGGGCTCCTGGTGAAAGAAAAGAGAGTAGTTTGCATTAAGCAACTTTCTGACCAGGATTCTTATTTCTCTCTCCCTACCCTGTGACTGCTTTTTCTTGCAAGTTCCACTCACCCCTAGATTGTAGGGACCAGGCAGCAGGCCCCAGGTTATTATTCCTCGCCCTGAATATTCATCTTGTAGCAACTCTGCAGCCTTAGCCCCTACCCCAGAGAAGCCATCGTGTAGGTCACACAGGATCTGGAAGCCCTGGACAGAGGTGAACGACGAAAGACAGTTGAAGAGTGATGAGGAAAGCTGCTGTAGTAGGGGTCCACCTTGCCAGGCAGCTACCTGCAAGAAGTCACACTCCTCCACGTAGAAATGCAGCCTGTCCTCCAGCTCTTCCAGATATCTGGGTTCCTTCAGGACACTCTCCCCTTGGCCAAAAGCCTCCAGCCGACCTGCTTCCCTGCCACAAATAGACACGATCCAAGAGTTAGAACCCTCTTCCTCAACTCCTCGATCTCTTTGTTTTGGGGGAGGGCAGGGAAGATGGCCTCAAGAGGCTCATCCAGCATTGCTGGTGACCCAAGTTTCTTGCCTCACAGACTCTGAGGTCCCCGTACCCATCATGGTTGTACTTCTGAATCATGCAGATGCTCCGGGGATGGAGATGGACTCTGAGGAAATCTGACCAGACTCGGATGCTGCCCTCTGTGGGGATAGGTGGGTTTGAAGTGGCGATGGTGTGTGGCAGGGGACCTGAAGAAAAGCAGAGGAAATGTACCTTTCTCTGTCTTCCTGCTCTGCCCAAGTCCCCATCCATCAGTATCTGGAGAAGTCTCACCTTTGCCATTGGGAATGGATTTGACCCTCCAGACACCATCACTACTTAGTACTCCCTGGGAGGGGTAAGAAAAATCTACATTTAGTTCCAGGCAGTTTGGAGGCAAAGGCTGCTTTTTCCTCCCTTAGTTTGTTGACACACCCCTTTCTATTCAGGTAGTCGGTTCAGGTAGTCCTCAGGAAAAGAAGTGCTTTTTGCCAAAGTAATGTCCTAAGGCACTTATGGTGATTAAAATCCTCTTTTTATCTTCCCCAGTGGAGGCACTCTGGTTAGCCCGGTTCAGGGCTGAGGCCCTCACCTCTGCACTTGGAAGGTCCTGGAGATAAGGGTTCTTGGGATAGAGTTCCTCTTTGTGTGTAGTGAGCTTCCCCTGCCTGAAAGAGATTGGAGTTTGACCACAGAAACTGTCACTAGGATGAGTTCTTCAGCTTTCTGTGCACATACACATTCCCCACCCCTCCCCATACAGCGAATACGCACCATGCTACTGCAGCATCTAGCTGTTTGTCGCTGTAGAGTCCACCTTCCTCTTTTAGGGAGCTCAGACTACCTGTACAGAAATAATAAGCAATGTTAGGTCGGTCAAAGCCTAGGGCACCCTCTCCCTCCCTTCAGCTAATCTTCCTTTGATCACCTGACAACCTGCTGTCACCATCCCTCCAGCACATGGCTTTTACAAGTCTTCTTGGATATACGTTAGTTGAGGGTCGGGGGAACTCTGGTCTAGGAGAATCCAGATTCCATCCTTCAGTTCCCAGTTCAGTCATTAGCTTGTGGGACTTGGGGCAAAAGCCACACCCACTGGTCCTACGGGAGTGCTACAGTTCAACGTCTCACCGTCTCTAGGGACTAGCAGCCTATTCCAGAGATGGCTCTCGAGCAGAGTAAAGTTTGGCCTTCCTGCGTCCCTCGAGTGTTGGCATACTATGTTAGCTCCTATCTCTGGTCCTTCGGCCAAGGAAGGTGGGAGGGTCTTGAAGCGAACAGATGCTAGAGACTCCGCACACAAAAGGGAAAAACCGCATCGGCTGACCCCTGCCACTTCCTCACCCTTCAGATCCATGAGGATGAGTCGCGGCGTGTAGGTCTCCTGGCCGTGGAGCGTCCTGCCCGTACGGTACAGAACGTCGGGCCACAGCTCTCCTGGCGGCTCCTTGGCATCGGTCGCTCGGCCCAGCGCAGCATCCTGGGGAGGCACAGAGGACGGGGCTCAGAGACGGCGAGGCCGGAAGTCAAAACTGTAGATTCCGACAAGCTCCGCCGGCGCAACTGCCGGGAGACCTCACCTGCTGGTTCCACCAGTGCGCTCCCACGAAACCCGCAAAGTGTCCCAACTGCAGTGTGAGCACCTCCCGGACCCCGCCCGCCATACCGCCCTGCACCGCCCCTGCCGGTTCACTCGTTGCTCCTAGCCGATTGGCTTGGCAGGCTTCTGGGCGGGGCCTCATTCTCTGCGTCCTATTGGTCCACAAGCACATCCTTTCCCGTTGAATAAACGATTCGTCGGGCTCTAGAGGCACCGCCCGTCATTCGCTCCCTCTTCCCTGACGTGGACCAATCCTGCTTCCCTGTAGTTGCCGGCGAGGGGCGGAACCCCGCCGGCCTCGCCGGAAGTTGCAGACGTCAGTGCCTGCACGCCAGGATGGAGCATTTTGGGGGCTGGTGCCTTTGCTCTTCACGTGGGGCAGCCCTGGGGCGTGTCACGGAAGGCTCTCTTCCTATTCCTCTTGCAGCTCTTGTCTTTTTTCACGCAAATATCTCTGCTGGCTAATAGCTCCTCAGACAAAAATAAAACCTTGCTGGAAAAAAGAAGTAGCCCCCTAAAGCTTCCCATGGGCACCCTCTTCCCCTCAAAAAGTCTCACAGTTCCTGACTTCTAAGCCTGTGGGCTAGACTCTCATTTACTTATCTATCATCTACCTATCATTTATCTATGTTTATTTATATCTGTTACGTTGCGTAAAGAAATCGGAGTTTGTATTATTTGGGGTCTTGCCTTTGTTCAATATGGGTTGTGAAATTCACCCCTATTACTGCATGTACCTATCGCTCATTTTCACTGCTGCAGAATAGTCCACTGTATGAATAGACCAGAAGTGGTCTATTCTATTCAACAAAGAATATATTCTGCTAATAATAGACTTCGGGATTGTTTCCAATTTTTGGCTATTAGGTGCTACGATTAACATTCTTGTTCCTATGAACAACTTTTTTCTTGGGTATGTACCTAAGAGTGTCAATTTTGGGGTCAGAAGATTGTGTATGTTAAAACTTGGTAAGTAACAACAAGCTGTTTTATAAAATACCAATTTACAATGGCCCCACTAGTGTTAAGAGAGTTTTCGTCCGGTGTTCCATAACCTTGCCAACATTTAAAAACTTTAATCATTATCATGATGGTTTTAATTTTCCTGATCACTAATGAGGTTGAGAGTACCTTTTATGTTTATTGGTCATTTGGATATCATTTTTAGTGAAGTGCGTGTTCAAGCCTCCTGTCCATGTTTCTTTTAGCTTGTATGTTTCTTATTAATTTGCAAAAGTACTTTATTCTGGATACAAGGCCATTGTCAGTTCTCTGTGGAAAGCAATATGGAGATACCTCACTCTGTCACCCAGGCTGGAGTGCAGTGGCATGATCATAGTTCACTGCAACCTTGAACTCCTGGACTAGAGCTATCCTCCTACCTCAGCCTCCCAAGTAGCTGGGACTACAGGCATATGCCACCATGCTCAGCTAATTTTTCTTATTTTTTGTTGAGACGAGGTCTCGCTATATTGCCAGGCTGGTCTTGAACTCCGGGCCTCCAGCAATCTTACCACTTTGGCTTCCCAAAAGACTGGAATTACAGGTGTGAGCCACACCACCCCTGGCCTGAAATTTTGATAGTGATTGCATTGAATTTATAGGTCAATTTAGGGATAATTGCCATCTTAACACTGTTGAGCATCCCAATCAATGAACATGGACTGGTTTTCATTTGTGTCTTTTTAATTTCCATCCATAATATATTGTAGTTTTTAGTGTACATCTTGCACTTAAGTACTTAGAAATAGAATTATTTTAATTTCATTTCTGGATTTTCATTGCTAGTATCAAGAAATACAATTGATTTTTTTTTGTAGGCTAGTCAAGTGAGGCAGTGGAAGTGGAGAAGGAACAAAGGAATCTGTAACTGGTTGTGATCAATTAGTTGTAAACACCACTGCACTCGGACCAGCCTACAATTGATTTCAGTATATTGATCTTGAATTATTGTGACCTTGCTGAACTTGTTTTAGTTCTGGTAGACCTTTTTTGGGATATCTTAAGGTTTTCTACATGCAAGATTATGTCATCTAAAAATAAAAGCATGGGACTGCAAACTACTGCAACCTCTGTGGAAAGCAATATGGAGATACCTTAAAGGGATACAAGGAGATCTACCATTTGATCCAGCAATCCCATTACTGGGCATCTACCCAAAAGAACAAAAGACACTCTATAAAAAAGACACCTGCACCCGAATGTTTATAGCAGCACAATTCACAATTGCAAAGATGTGGAAACAACCCAAGTGCCCATCAATACATGAGTGGATTAATAAAATGTGGTGTATGTATACCATGGAGTACTATTCAGCTCTAAGAAACAGTGGTGATATAGCACCTCTTGTATTCTCCCGGAAAGAGCTGGAACATATTCTACTAAAAGTGAAGTATCCCAAGAATGGAAAAACAAGCACCACATGTACTCACCCGCAAATTGGTTTCATTGCAATCTAAGTGTACAAATAGGAATAATATTTATCGGGCGTCGGGCAGATGGGAGGGGGGGAGGAGGGGATGGGTATATACAAACATAATGAGTGCGATGCACACCATATGGGGGATGGACACGCTTGAAGGTCTGACTGGGGGTGGGGGAGGGGCAATGTAACCTAAACATTTGTACCCCCATAATATGCAGAAATAAAAAAAAAAAGAAGAAAAAAAATTGTTAGCTTCTACTAACTGACAGTAGTCGTGGAAAAAGGGAAGAATCTGTCTAACAACAGAAGTTTGCTTAAAAAATGCAGATTACTTTGTATAAAGTTACCAAATAGGTATTCATGGTAGGATCTTGATTTTTTTTTCTTTTTGCTATTTTAAGGATCTTATTTTGTAAAAGAAAAGAAAAATAAAGGAAGATTGGAATAAAAAAAATAAAAAAATAAAAATAAAGGCAGTTTTACTTCTTCCTTTCCAATCTGGATCCAACCTAGCTGAGTGACGAGGAAAAGCCCTAAGAGGTTAGCTGTGCAGCAGCTTAGCATGGGGACAATAAAAATCAGGGCATGAGCATCAGGTCTGCAGAAGGGTCTTAAGAAAAAAAGAGGACTGGAGAGGGTAGATTATGATAGAGTATTTGGGAAAAAAGAATTTCTATTTAGCTAATTACAAAAGTAATGAGGTAATCCTTCTGTAGAGACTTTCTATGTCAGCTATGGTACAGACATACACTTTAATATTCCATATGCTTATGAATTCAGGGGGAAGCATTTCCCAGCCTCATTTGCAGCTAAGGATCGAGCTTGCCAAAATGATGCAGGTCCTGACCAGTAAGCATCTTCTGGTAAGAGCAGTGGCATCTTGTGTTTTTGGGAGGCACCAGCAATGGAATTTGTGGGGGCTGGCTGCCATTGTCATAGGCTAAAATGTGGATGGTTTATTTTGTTTGTTTTTTTTCTTGAGACAGAGTCTTGCTCTGTTACCCCGGCTAGAGTGCCGTGACATCAGCCTGGCTCACAGCAACCTCAGACTCCTGGGCTCAAGTGATCTTCCTGCCTCAGCCTCCCTAGTAGCTGGGACTATAGGTGCGTGCCACCATGCCTAGCTAATTTTTTCTATTTTTTTTTTTAGTAGAGACAGGGTTTTGCTCTTGCTCAGGCTAGTCTTGAACACCTTATATCAAGCAAGACTCCTGCCTCAGCCTCTCAGAGTGCCAGGATTACAGGCATGAGCCACTTTTTGGAACCTTATGGACATTTTTTCCCCCAAAATATTTTCAATTCATGGTTGGTTGAATCCACAGATGCAAGAGGGTTGACTGTATGTTTTTGTATGGTTTGAAATTTGTAACATGTACATGGCAAAATAAATGAGAATGAAGGCATAATAGAACTGCTAAATGACATCAATTAGGGGAATTTTAGAAAGCTCCCTCAGGCAGCCTGTGAAAGATAGACTGGAGGGAGTCAAAAGTAGTAGGAAGCCAGGCACGGTGGCTCACGCCTGTAATCCGAGCACTTCGGGAGTCCGAGGTGGGAGGATCACTTGAGCCCAGGAGTTTGAGGTTGCAGTGAGCTATGATGACACCACAGCACTCTAGCCAGAGCCACAGAGGGAGACTGTCTCAAAAATAAAAAATTAAAAAAAGAGTGGCTGGAGGCAGAGAAACAAATTAGCAAATGATTACAGTAACTCAAACAAGAAGTGAAGGGGGTATGAAGGCAATGGTAGTAAGGATGAAGAGGAAGGGGGTTTGAGCTGTTAAAAAGATAAATCTAAAAGCTTAATGATTCACATTGGGAGGTACATCAATCAAGGCGCAATAGGAAAAGCAGAACCACTACGAGATACATAAAAAAGGCTTTGTTACAGGAATTTAACTTTTCCAATTGGAGCTGGTTAAATTTCTCTGTAAAGCTGCTGTCAGCATCTGATGCTAGAGCATCAGGCTAGTTAAACTGACACATTGTAAAGCTACCACTGTGGTTGACTGGGGGGTTGGTTCAGGAACGGAAGTGCTATTCCTGATAGGAAATTCTTCAAATAAGCACTATAAAATCCAAGTTATAAAGACAGCCAGCTACTGTTAATGGGTACCTTACTATGTGTTAGGCACTTTACATATGTGATTTAATACTTGCAAAAGCCCTGCAAGTTTAGCATTATTATCACCATTAGATAAGGTGAAATTAGAGAAGGAAATAGGCTAAGAGACCCTAAAACAGAGAGCTAATAAGTGATGGAGCGGGGAATCAAAATTCTGACTCTTTAAACTATACCAACAACCTGGAAATGGTAAGAGGATTAAATGATCTGAGGTAACTATTTTCTCAATTATCCCAAGGGATGGTATACAGGTAGTAGAACTCCGTATGTATTAAAGATAAGTTAATTCATTATATACAATGTATGCTCAAAGGGTTTAGTGCTTAATTCTCTTAGGAACTTGTACAAAGGGGCTGTGCCATACAAAGCTGCCAGAAACAGCTGGAGTTTCAGTTAAGGTTCCCAGGGATCATCAAGGGATCAAAGTATAAATAGGAAGTGAGTGTTAAGTGTCTGGAGGGAGAAGTAGAGTTGTGAATCTCGATCTGCTGAACTGAATAAAGTCTAAGGAACAGAACCAGTGGAAATTTCTGTAGAATTGAGTCTCTTCAGATTCCCAACAAGCAGAATACCAGAGAAATTCAATTTGGCCAATCTGAAGGCTCTTTCCATATTATAAATCTAACACAACGCTTTAAGAAACATATTTAATTTTTTTAAGGAAAAGATCTATGATTATCTTTTTTTTGTTTTTTTGAGACAGAGTCTCACTCTTTTTGCCCGGGCTAGAGTGAGTGCCGTGGCGTCAGCCTAGCTCACAGCAACCTCAAACTCCTGGGCTCAAGTGATCCTTCTGCCTCAGCCTCCCGAGTAGCTAGGACTACAGGCATGCGCCACCATGCCCGGCTAATTTTTTCTATATATTTTTAGTTGGCTGATTAATTTCTTTCTAATTTTAGTAGAGGCGGGGTCTCGCTCTTGCTCCAGCTGGTCTCGAACTCCTGAGCTCAAACAATCCACCCGCCTCGGCCTCCCAGAGTGCTAGGATTACAGGCGTGAGCCACCGCGCCCGGCCTATGATTATCTTAAATGTGAAAATCGCATCCAATAAACCAGTATTAGTTTCAGGAAGAAGAGGACATCTTATTGCCACGTGTTCACAGTCATTTTGCAAGGAACTCATTTCAACGAAGGTCCAGAGCCAACTGCAGTCTTGTCCAATCCCCTAAGCAGAGGGGCCTGGCTGCTCTTCCTGTGTAGTGATTCCATCTGGTTGGGTCCAGCTTAAAGGAAATGTCCATGTTCTTCCATGCACGTTGTGACCGTGGCTTAGAGGTAGGCACAGAGCCGCTCCAGCTCCCTGGGGTTTGCATTACTTAGGAACAGCAGCTCCTTTTTCCCGTCTTCTGTATGAGCTAAAATGGAGTCAAACACAGATAAGTAGCAGTTTCTTCCTGCTGCATTGTGTTCTTCAGAAAATTCTGTAGTCAGAGGCTACCTTATCCAGATTACGTTGTGATGTAATTGGCATTTCCTAAGAGATCTTATTTCTAAATCCTTTATCCCAATGAGGTATTCTTTTTCTATGCAAAATTTCCCTTGTCTCTATTCTTCTATTTCCTTTGTCTCTATCCCTCTAATCCAGCGTATCTCTCTCCCTCCATTCCAAGAGTATCTTGTGGACTTTAGGACTTTGTCAAATCTTCCAACTCCCTTAGAAATCTGTCCATGGTGCCTCCCAACCTACCATGCTGGCTGCAGCTACTTTTACATTCTTCTCTCTACTCCTGTAAGAACCTATTCCAATTACTATTAACTCTCTATTGTCTAGTGATAGAGTGGTCTTTACTTTTCTTCTACATCCTCTCACATCCACAGGTGAGGGCAAGGGTTAATGAATAGCTGGAATGCTTTCAGTCCAATTGGATCAAATATGGAGTTAAGAATTAATTTTTGTATATATATGCTAGGTCAGGTAGGGCGAAGGTTTAGTTTGGTGCTGGTGTAGCCTCTCACACAGTATGAATTATTCTATGGGTCTCCTAGCACACGAACCTATCAACTGAAGTTTATTGAATGAATAAATGCAACAAAGAGAGTGTGGCAGCAACCTAAACACCTGGAAACTCTGCCCAATGGCTGGACTTGGCTTTGCTTCCTTCTTTAGCATGAACATTTTATTCTGGACTAAGATGAGAAATTTAGGGAGAATATAAACTCTTTTGTAAGTTAAACCGTAATCACCTCCCAACCACCTTTCTGTATTATCTTATCGGCCAGAAATAAGTCAAGATAAAGGAAAAAAAGATGAAATATTACAAGCTATTGCTGAGGGAAGAAGAGATCAAGCCTCTGATGCAGTGGGATTCTACTGTGAGCATAAAGCCCTGATAGGAAAAATTAAACAACCAACCTTTCTCATGTTGAAGCCAATTATTCTCCAAGTAATACTGAAGACAGCTTTCAAATTCCTTTGGGGTATAGTTGGAAACCAGGATGGGGATAAAGGGATCGAGGGCATCAAATCCTTCCTGGAGAAGAAAAAGGATGAAGACATAGTAATCGTTACGGAACAAATCAGCAGGAGGAGAAATTCTACTTAAGCATTTTGAGGGCAGGGTCTTTGTATTTCTTTTCTTTTTCTTCTTCTTTTTTTTTTTTAAAGAGACAGGACCTTACTCTGCTGTCTGGGCTGCCGCAGTGCAGTGGTGTGATCATAGGTCCTTGAAGTCTCAAACTCCTGGGCTCAGGTGATCCTCCTGCCTCAGCCTCTCGAGTACCTGGGACTACGAGGGCACATCATCATGCCCAGCTAATTTTTAAAAGTTTTTGTAGACAGGAGGGTCTCGCTATGTTGCAGGCTGGCTGTGAACTCCTGGCCACAAGCGATCCTCCTACCTCAGCCTCCCAAAGTGCAGGGATTACAGGTGTGAGCTACCACACCTGGCCTGTGAACATGAATATTACATGTATATATTTACTAGCTCTATTGAGAGGGTCTAGAAGAAATGAAACCCCAATAGCAATGAGTATACCTAGCTCTCAGGTCTTGGTTTCTAAATGCCATTCTCCTCTAAAACAAACTAAGGATCTTTGGAGAAATGGCTGACTCCAAGGTTGGGGTATGGAAAGTACAAGCAAGATGAGTCTGGAAAATATTCTTATGTCAGAAAGTAAAGAAGTGCTAAAAGAATGATGATCAAAAGGATACAGAAGGCCAGGCGCGGTGGCTCACGCCTGTAATCCTAGCTCTCTGGGAGGCCGAGGCAGGTGGATTGTTTGAGCTCAGGAGTTCGAAACCAGCCTGAGTAAGAGCGAGACCCCATCTCTACTAAAAATAGAAAGAAATTAATTGGACAACTAAAAACATATAGAAAAAATTAGCCGGCCATGGTGGTGCACGCCTGTAGTCCCAGCTACTCAGGAGGCTGAGGCAGGAGGATCGCTTGAGCCCAGGAGTTTGAGGTTGCTGTGAGCTAGGCTGATGCCAGGGCACTCACTCTAGCCTGGGCAAAAGAGTGAGACTCTGTCTCAAAAAAAAAAAAAAAAAGGATACAGAAGCCAGCTTGAAGGAGCTTCTAATGGCCAAATCTGAGATAAGTTGAACATCAAAATAAAAAACTACAGTGGACTTGGTGGTGGTTCACATCTGTAATCCCAGCACTTTGGGAGGCCACGGTAGGAGGACTGCTTGAGGCCAGGAGTTCAAGACCAGCCTGGGCAACATAGTGAGACCTTGTCTCTGGAAAAAAAAAAAAAAAAAAAAATTAGCTGGGCAGAGTGGTATGCACCTGTAGTCCTAGCTATTCAGGAATCTGAGGCAGGAGGATTGCTTGAACCCAGGAGTTGGAGGCTATAGTGAGCTATGATCATGCCACTGCATTACAGCCTGGGCAACAGAGTGAGATCCTGTCTCAACAACAACAAAAAGATAGTAGAAGTTTAGAATCCATTATGTAAGAATCCACAAGTCCACACTGAAAGAAACAAATAAATAAATATATAAAGCAGAAGGTAAAGTTTCTACTTATAACAGAAAGCCAAAAATAATACATATAGAAGAAATGATGGAGCTAAAAATTCTCCAGTTGGCCACTGTCATAATAATAACTGATTTAGGAAAGAATCACTAATGTAATGGATACTAAAATTAGTAGGTGGAAGTTTGAAAAGTAACAGGATCATTACATAGTCTCACAGTATATCTCAACAAGATATTTATTAATTACAAAGGGAAAATAGTAACATTACTTGATGGCTACCACCTCAACTAACTGTTCAGAATTAATATCACCAGTAATGGGAGAAACAGATTTCAAGTGCCTTCTCATAAGATGCATTCACTAAGATACACCATCACTTCTAATATCACTACTACTCATGAGGAAACATCAGACCTCATAAAACGAATGACCTACAAAATAACTGGCATGCACTTTTTAAAAAATATAAATATTAACGTTATTAAAGACAAAGACTGAGGAACTGTCACAGATTAAAGGAAACCAAATAGACATGACAACTTAATTTAACACACTATCCAGAACTTTTTCTATAAAGGATATTGGAACAACTGGCTAAATCAGAGTAAGGTCCACAGATTAGGTAAAAGTATTATATCAATGTCAATTTTCTGATTTTGATGATTGTGCTATGGTTATGTATTAGAGTGTCTTTGTTTTTAGGAAAGAGACATAATTGGAGGGAAAAAGAGGCATCATGTCTGCAGGTTACTGTCATATAATTTTGGAAAAAAATGTGGAAAGAGGGGAAGGATAAAGCAAACACAATAAAGTTTACATTTTAGAAATCTGGGTGAAGGGCATACAAGAATATGAGTTTTCTCTAAGTCTGAGATTATGTAAAAATAAATAAATCAATAAAAAGATACATCTTTAGAATAACTAAGGGGAGACAACTTTTTCTATAACTTGACCTTTCCCAGCAACTCCTGGGGCAGATAGGCTCTCCGGGGCTTAAAGAGAGACCCAGTCTGGCTCAAAGTCAACACAATGGCACCTCCATGCTGAAAGAAAAGAGAAAATGCTGAATTGGAAAAAGCTAAAAAAGATAGAAAAATGCAATGTAATCATCTACAGATTTTTTTTTTGCCATATAGTGTAGTGGCAGTATGGTCTGACACAGATAAATGTCAACTGAATTGGTTATTAGTTCTAGATTTGGCTCTGATAATAAATTGCTGCATGATCTTAAGTTTATTACAACATATTTTTGGGTCTTAAACTCTTTTCCACAGATGATAAAGAAAATACAAGAACACTTTAAATAATTGCAAACAAAATAAAATTAGGCTAATATTTAAATAAAATGGTTTTGAATAAGCTTACTCGAGTCAAGTGGAAAGATTAGAAACCAAATACATAGATTTTAACACATTAACTGACATGTGAGTTGTATTAAACTCATGCTAGTTTTGAGCCTGGGGCTTCGTGAAGCATGCGTAACTCACACATCTCTTCACCTTGGGAGCTGTGAGAACCATTTTTCAAGTCGCATATAACTCATGCACAAAAAACAATAAAAAATAAGATTTTTTCATTAAATTAGAAAGGACTGGTTTATTTTTGAAGTTTTTATTCTATTTTTGTAATAGAACTCCATGGCCCCAAGGAAAAATTTTTTTCTAGTGTGGCAGTCAATGTGTTAATCCAGACCTTATTCTTAACGTGGTACAGTTATAGAATTAAATAAAAGAACTTTTTGTCCATAAAATTAGAGAATGGAAAGTATTAGCAGTGAAGTAGTAGTATGTTTTAAAGAAAAACACGTTTCTTTCCGAAATGCGTTAGGCACCGTATGCACTTACCCAGTCATTTTTCACCATTTTCCTCAGGTTGTGAATAAGTGCTAATTCCTCTGGGGCAATCTGCACATTGGTCAATGAAAGAGAGAAGAGATCACTACTTGCTTTACCTGGGTGCTCAACAGAGACAACTCTTTAGTTGAACAACAATAAAAAAATCCTCAACTACTGCATAATCATGGTACCTGAGGGTACACCAGATAAGCCACATAGTTGCTGGCTCTAGAACTTCCATGCTTCTGGAGACTAATAACAGTCACCAAGAGAGAAAACACCTACTTCCCTAAACCACCCCCTTCCTTGGTGCTTCTGATCTTCTCTGCTGAGACCATACAGCCTCATTTTGAAATGAGAATAGAAAGAACAAATTAAGAAAGAAAGAAAACATAGCTTCTGCTGTTATGCCCTTTCCACAACACTCTCGCTTAATTTTCAATGAATGGTAGAATTCTTGGCATGAAAGCATTGCCTTCTTCTGATTCCATTTTCATAGTATATCTTTTTTTTTTTTTTTTTTTTTTTGAGACAGAGTCTGACTTTGTCACCCAGGCTAGAGTGCCGTGGCGTCAGCCTAGTTCACAGCAACCTGAAACTCCTGGGCTCAAGCAATTCTCCTGCCTCAGCCACCTGAGTAGCTGGGACTACAGGCATGCACCACCACACTTGGCTAATTTTTTCTGTTTTTAGTTGGTCTGGCTAATTTCTTTCTATTTTTAGTAGAGATGGGGTCTTGCTCTTGCTAAGGCTGGTCTCAAACTCCTGACCTCAAGTGATCCTCCTGCCTCGGCCTCCCAGAGTGCTAGGATTATAGATGTGAGCAACCACACCTGGCCTATCTTTTTTTTTTTTTGAGGCAGGGTCGCACTCTGTTGCCTGGGCTAGAGTGCAGTGGCATGATCATAGCTCACTGCAACCTCAAACTCCTGGGCTCAAGTAATCCTCCTGGCTCAGCCTCCCAAGTAGCTAGGACTATGGATACACACCATCATGCCTGGCTAATTTTTAAAAAATTGTTTGTAGAGATAAGTCATGCTGCGTTGCCCAGGCTGGTCTTGAACTCTTGGGCTCAAGCAATCCTCCCACCTTGGCTTCCTAAAGTGCTGAGATTATAGGCGTGAATGAGCCAGTGCACCCACCCTCTATTTGCCCTGTATATCTTAATTCGAATACTCCTAGGGCAAGATAATATATCAGATGGGCTACAAGACTAAGACCTAGCCTCTGTACATGATAAAACCAGAAATCAAGGAAACTAATAATAGAGAAACCCAGTTTTCCTACCGGGCTTTTATCTTCTCTTTTTAGAGTGGTCCTTCCCCACAGAGCATTGATACCATCCACAGCTACTAGCAGGCGAAAAATTCCCAAAGAACTTTGCCTCTTTAGCTCTTTCAGCACAATCCCAACTGCATCTGTGGCATTTCTCACCCGTGTTATGCCCTGTTGGGAGAGAGAGAGGCTTACAGTGTTGCAGGATGTCTTCTCAGATTATGACATGGTATACATTCAGTGTCTTTTCTTTTACCTGTTCAACTACTTCTCCCAGAGGACTGCCTTTCTCAGTACTTTCTCTCTTATTCCAGACATACTTCTCTTGAACTTTTATCTAAAATCAAGCAAACAAAATAAAAACCAAAAAAAGGTTACTTTGCCTAAGGGTAAACCCATCCCTTGAGAAGGCTGGAGGCTAAGGTTAACAGGAGTCAGTTTTTTTTTTTGAGACAGAGTCTCACTGTGTTGCCTGGGCTAGAGTGCCGTGGCGTCAGCCTAGCTCACAGCAACCTCAAACTCCTGAGTTCAAGCAATCCTTCTGCCTCAACCTCCCGAGTAGCTGGGACTACAGGCATGCGCCACCATGCCTGGCTAATTTTTTCTATATATTTTTAGTTGTCCGATTAATTTCTTTGTATTTTTAGTAGAGACGCGGTCTCGCTCTTGCTCAGGCTGGTTTCGAACTCCTGAGCTCAAACAATCCGCCCGCCTCAGCCTCCCAGAGTGCTAGGATTACAGGCGTGAGCCACTGCACCGGCCAGGAGTCAGTTTTAATCTATGTTTCAGGTCCTGTAAGAGACCTCAGTATGGAAGTGAATGCTTTCTAACCCATTTCTGTCTGGAGCCTTGAAAAAAAAATACATAAAGGATTATGACTAAAAGGGTCCAGAATGAAGCTTTGGAATCTGTTTTTTCTTTCTTTCTTTCTTTTTTTTTTTTTAAGAGACAGGGTCTTACCCTGTCATGCAGGCTAGATAGAGTACAGTGGTACCTCTAGCTCACTGCAGCCTCAAATTCCTGGACTCAAATGATTCTCTAGCCTCAGCCTCCTGAGTAGTTGGGACTATAGGCATGTACCACTGTGCCTGGCTAATTAAAAAAAAATCTTTTTAGAGATAGGGTCTTGTTATGTTGCCCAGGCTGGTCTTGAAGTCCTGGCTTCAAGCGAGTCTCTGCCTTGCCACCCCAGTAGCTGGGATTACGGGTGTGAGCCACCACGTCCAGCCTGGAATTTGCATTTTTAGTAAGCTCTTAGGTGACTCCACTTTGTACCCAGCATTGGAAAGTCCTGGTCTAGAGATCCAAGAATCACTTGAGTAAATAGCAATTTTACCAGTACATTTCTGGTTCCTGAAAAAGATCTTATCTGGAGAAAACCATGTAGTTGGAAATCTGCTTGTGAAGGATTTGAGGCTGTAGCTTGAAAAGTCAATGAATCAATCTGGATTTCACTTTGCTACCAACAAAATGAGAACAGTTTACTGTGTGAGCAAAATGTATGAAAGAAATACAAAATGATGTAGTTATTCCAAACTGTAATTTCAGTTCTCCACAGTCTACCAGTATTCAGAGTACAAAAAAGACAGAATCCAAATAAAGAGTATTCAGTATCAAACTTCTGGGAGTCTAGTCACCTGGCTGAGGAAGCGTTCATTTGCAGTTTTGAAATTCTTTAACCAGGTTGAAGCCTCTATAGGTTGATCAAAACGCTCTTTGTTGTAGGTGGACTGTAGAAGATCCCGGCAATTTTTCACCCAAAGATGAGCTAAAAAAAAAGGCACAAGAAAATAAACTAGGCAGAAACTGACTGTTTTCAACTTGAAAACTCTCCGCCTCTTTAATTATGGGAAATGACTTTAGTTTCCCATATGTATTTCTTAAAGTCTTCTTGCTTCGGGGGTTTACTTTTTTGTCTGGTCCACCTTAGACTAGACATTATCATTAGAATCAATACATAAGGCATGCCAAGTGGATTAAATATCACTTCTGCTTACTGGCAGTTTTTAAAGCTATGTCAGAAAATGTAGATGCATAAAACACTGAACAAGAAAGGAATATATACCAAATATGAGAGTTTAAGTTTTTAAGATCTATACTGACAACTCTAGAATGCTGATAAGTAGTAGAAGTCTCTATAGGTTCTCAAAATTGTTAACTGACGGCAAAAAAACCCCCTGTGGTGACATCTAAGGAAGGAGTTTATGCACTTGGGCACTGAATATCAACGTAAGGACTACTTGTTCAGGAAGCTTTTAGTTAGATTTCCTCTTGTCACATTTACTTTACCTTATAACCTGGTTGGAACTAATATGATGAAATAGCTCAGACTGCTCTGCATCTAGAGCAAAGACTTTTCCTTTAGCCATCACAGCCCCATCAGAAAATTAAAGCCACAGGATTACCACAGCAACAGGGTAACTAAAACTACACAAAGAAAAGATAGGAAATTCTTACCATCAGGAATATGTAGTATCAGCCAGTCCTGTTTCGCACAGAAATGAATAACATGGCAAAGACTAAGGGTTTTTCCTGTTCCCTTCTCTCCATCTAAAGTACTTGTTGTTAAAGAAAACATCACCAGAAAGAGACGCTTCTATTGTCAAGTACTCTTGCATTTCTTCTTTTCCCTCATTTCAGGGGAGAAGGCATTGGCTCAAGAGGGCCCAGGCAGGCAGGAAAGGATACAGACAAGATATCGTACAGCTGGATATGCAAAATTGGTGTTTTTTAGGTAATGCAGAAGCTCGAGGCCTGGTTTCCGTACCATCAGGCAAGCTTCCCCAAACGTCTTCACCTGACAAAACGGGAAAGAAGGAAGGAGAGGGTGAGGTGTGGAACTTCTAACCAGTTTTTGGTGTATACATTAAGCCTAAGACAGCAACCAAGAGCAACAGGTTGCGTGACTTTAAACTGAAATACATTATTCTAGTAACATAATAGTTAGTTAGCTTTTGATTATGTCTGTTAATGAAGCATAGGTATTATATCAGTTAACTGAAATTCATAAATAATCCAGATATCTCATAACTACAAATACCACCTAGGGTCAATGTAAATATGAAAAGCATGTCAGATGTTCAATAAAGTATCTGATACATGGTAAGTATTCACTATTTATTTATTTATTTTGAGACAGGGTCTTGCTCTGTTGCCCAGGCTAGAGTGTAGTGGCATCATCAAAGCTCACAGCAATCTCAAACTCCTGAGCTCATGAGATCCTCCCATACTAGCCTCCTGAGTAGCTGGGACTACAGGCGTGTGCCATAATGCCTGGCTAATTTTTTTCTATGTTTTTGTAGAGATGGGCTCTTGCTTTTGCTCAAGCTGGTCTTGAACTCCTGGCCTCAAAGCAATCCTACTGCCGTGGCCACCCAAAGTGCTGGGAATATAGGCAGGAGCCACTGCTCTTGGCTTTAAAATTTATTTTTGGTTATTTCTTATTACTATAACATCTAGACTTCTGTAGAACTACATACATGGCAGCTCAGGAGCAGGTGAGACCAGCTGCCCCGCACAACTATGAGGTCATACCTCATGTCACCAGTATACTGACATTTCAGAGTTTTATGTATTCATTTCTCTTTTGCTACAAGTATACTTTTTGGTGGAAAAATTTGGGAAGCATTGCTATGAGTGTGAAAGTGAAGTATTTAATTATATCTACTGATAAGAATAAATATCTAACAAATACTATTTGTAAGCATATCAGATAAAGTGTAAAATAGTGTTGATATTTTTAAAAGAAGTCCTAACAAAACAATTGGATTGTGTAGGAATTGACAGGTTAAGTCCAAACTTAATGGAAAGTGCAATCTTCAAAAAAATTATACTGATATTGAAACAGAAACACCATATTAGGCAATATGACAGTACTAAAAAACACCAAACAATAACGGTGGAGTTGGCCTTCATGTTAACGGAAATTATGAAAAGAATGAATAAGTCCTGCCAGAGCACTGGTGGTTAAGCCAGTCTAAAAACAACTTGAAATGGTTAATTAAAGATAGGACCTCACAACCCTGAAGCTAAAGAATGTATGGTGAATGTCTTGGAACAGTTTAAATTGTCATTACAGATGATTTCTTCTGGTTGTGTTCACTTTCGATCTTTTTTTTTTTCCCCCTCAATCAATCAAAGTTTATTACACCAAAGTTTGAGCATGTTCCTGGGAAAAGCACAAACCTCAGAAGCATCTGTGATCTATGTTCTCTCCTATTTTCAATCTTAACAAAATTTTGAATTATAAAGCTACCTATGGTCTAGAATTAACTCCCTTATTGGTGTTACTTCCTTATTATTTATCTAATTTCCTGAAATAAAACACATTGAGGAAATGACATCCTCTGTCTCCCAAGCTAAAAATAACCTGCATAGGAAAGTTTGCTATTAAGAAGGAATAATTTCTTTTTCTCTTCTCTTCTCTTGTGTTTTCTTCTCTTGTGTTCTCTTCTCTTGTCTTCTCTTCTCTCCTCTTCCTCTTCTATTTTTTTTTTTGAGACATAGTCTCACGTGGTTGCCCCGGCTAGACTGCAGTGGTGTCATCATAGCTCACTGCAACTTCCAACTCCTGGGCTCAAATGATCCTCCTGCCTCAGTCTCACGAGTAGCTGGGACTAAAGGCATGCACCACCATGTACGGCTAATCATTTCTATTTTTTGCAGAGACAGGGTCTTGCTCTTGCTCAGGCTGTTTTTTTTTTTTTTTTTTTGAGACAGAGTCTGACTTTGTCACCCAGGCTAGAGTGCCGTGGCGTCAGCCTAGTTCACAGCAACCTGAAACTCCTGGGCTCAAGCAATTCTCCTGCCTCAGCCACCTGAGTAGCTGGGACTACAGGCATGCACCACCACACTTGGCTAATTTTTTCTGTTTTTAGTTGGTCTGGCTAATTTCTTTCTATTTTTAGTAGAGATGGGGTCTTGCTCTTGCTAAGGCTGGTCTCAAACTCCTGACCTCAAGTGATCCTCCTGCCTCGGCCTCCCAGAGTGCTAGGATTATAGATGTGAGCAACCACACCTGGCCTATCTTTTTTTTTTTTTGAGGCAGGGTCGCACTCTGTTGCCTGGGCTAGAGTGCAGTGGCATGATCATAGCTCACTGCAACCTCAAACTCCTGGGCTCAAGTAATCCTCCTGGCTCAGCCTCCCAAGTAGCTAGGACTATGGATACACACCATCATGCCTGGCTAATTTTTAAAAAATTGTTTGTAGAGATAAGTCATGCTGCGTTGCCCAGGCTGGTCTTGAACTCTTGGGCTCAAGCAATCCTCCCACCTTGGCTTCCTAAAGTGCTGAGATTATAGGCGTGAATGAGCCAGTGCACCCACCCTCTATTTGCCCTGTATATCTTAATTCGAATACTCCTAGGGCAAGATAATATATCAGATGGGCTACAAGACTAAGACCTAGCCTCTGTACATGATAAAACCAGAAATCAAGGAAACTAATAATAGAGAAACCCAGTTTTCCTACCGGGCTTTTATCTTCTCTTTTTAGAGTGGTCCTTCCCCACAGAGCATTGATACCATCCACAGCTACTAGCAGGCGAAAAATTCCCAAAGAACTTTGCCTCTTTAGCTCTTTCAGCACAATCCCAACTGCATCTGTGGCATTTCTCACCCGTGTTATGCCCTGTTGGGAGAGAGAGAGGCTTACAGTGTTGCAGGATGTCTTCTCAGATTATGACATGGTATACATTCAGTGTCTTTTCTTTTACCTGTTCAACTACTTCTCCCAGAGGACTGCCTTTCTCAGTACTTTCTCTCTTATTCCAGACATACTTCTCTTGAACTTTTATCTAAAATCAAGCAAACAAAATAAAAACCAAAAAAAGGTTACTTTGCCTAAGGGTAAACCCATCCCTTGAGAAGGCTGGAGGCTAAGGTTAACAGGAGTCAGTTTTTTTTTTT